GTGTGTGTGTGTGTGTGTGTGTGTGTGGGGGGGGGGGGGGGGGTTCCATTCACACAAGCACATGTCAGTTTTAGCAGCTTGCGACTGGCTGAGTTTGGGGTTCTCATAAAGACTATGTCATGATGGAAATTAATGTAATCCATCATAAACTTGCACATCAGCTCACAAACACACAAGCGGTGCATGTACTAAAGTAAAATACACACAAAATACACTTTTTTTTGGTCATGCCTATATATAATAATATAAAACAGAAGAGTGGTGCAGGCAAATAAAGTAGGACTCGTGTAATGAAAGGCATACCTTCAGAAATCCTACGCTCAACATTTCAAACAGAATTAAGGCAACACAACAGCGCTTTGATGTGAATTCAAAGTGGAGTCTGTACAAACTTGTGGTCACACTGACTCTACGAAAGAAAAGGTGTAATGAATATTTGCTCAGCTCAGTCGAAAGAAAAAAATCATAGAGTAATGCAAGACTGGAGCCCATTGACTCTTGCTTTGACTGTGTTTATAACTTCTTTTATTTTATTTAAATGGCTTTTTGTTGAATTATTGTTGTATGTACTTTATTAAAACAGGTCTCTCTTGTAAATGAGTCCTTGTGACTCAACGAGACTAACCTGTATAAATAAAGGTTGAATGAAAAACTAAATTGACTTGCTTCCTGTTTTGCTTTGCTGGCTCCTTCTAGCTTACTCAACTTAAGTTCCTTCTTAGTGACATGGTCAGCAGTAAAGTTGCGCTCAGGTCCAAAAAATCCGATCTGACCCGACCCATGCCTGCAGCCATCAGCTCCGAACCCGACCTGATCCAACATATTAACAGTAATTAAAGGTCTGAGCCATTAAAACCCCTGACATTTTTAATTAAGCTTTGACTACTTACACCACCGACTATTATTAACGGTTGGCAGACGCGTGCGGCTGAGTAAAGGGGGCAGAAAGAAGATCAGAGCTGAGGAGCCATCAAAGCACATTAAATGTTTCCCCTGCTTCTGTCTGCATTGGACCCTATTCTGACATGTCGGATATTTTGTGATCTCACCTGTTTGGGTCATCGGCAGCGCGTCCGCTGAGTTCTGCGGCTGAATGAACGTCCGTTTGAGTTGATGGATCGCTGGCAGAAGTCCATCCATCCATCCATTATCTTTACCCGCTTCTTCCATTTTGGGTCACGGGGGTCACCGGTGCCCATGTCCAGCAATTACTGTGCGAGGGGCGGGGTACACCCTGGACGGGTCGCAAGTCCATCATAGGGCCACATAGAGACAAACATTTATTCACTCTCTCACTCACACCTAGAGACAATTTAGAGTTACCAATCAGCCTAACATGAATGTTTTTGGTCTGTAGGAGGAAACCGGAGTACCCGGAGAAAACCCACGCATGCACGGAGAGAACATGCAAACTCCACCCAGAAAGGCCCCTGGACCGGGGTTTGAACCAAGGACCTGCTTGCTGAGAGGCAGCAGCTCTACCAGTTGTGCCACCGTGCTGCCCACGGCAGTAGTCCATTTGAAGCTTAACTGAGCTTTTTGCCTCTTTCAACCAACCGGTGTCCCTAACACAATAAAAACCAGACACTGACCTGGCCCGCACATAAAGCAAATTATCATGGCCCAGCCCATTTCGAATCTGGGTCAGGCGGGCCCGGACTCCGGGTTTGGGTTAGTAATGACAGCTCTAGTCAGCTGCACAATGGCGCAGTTGGTAAAGCTGCCACATCTCAGCAAGAAGGTTGCCCTGGTTCAAATATCAGCCGGGGGTCATTCTGGGCGGAATTTGTATGTTCTCTCCATGCATGTGTGGGTTTTCTCTGGGTACTCTCGTTTCCTCCCACAGACCAAAAACATGCATGTTAGGCTGATTGGTAACTCTAAATTGTCCCTAGGTGAGAGGGAGAGAGTGAATGGTTGTTTGTCTTGTTTGTCTCTGTGTCCCTGTGATGGACTTGAAACCTGTCCAGGGTGTCCCCCACCTCTCGTACATTGATAGCTGAGCATGGGCACCGGTGACCCCCACGACCTGAAAAGGAAGAAGCGGGTAAAAGATAATGGATGGTTGGATGGATGGATGGTGTGACATAGGCATTCATTATCTTCATGTAACACACTTCATGTTCTCTCTAAAACCTAATTTCTTAGAATATTTTGAGATGTGCTGTTTCTCAGTCTCCCATAGTAAGTATAGCTAAGGTTTGCTAGTTTGACATAGCTACAAGCAATATTTCTGTTGTCTGTTTCACTTGACTGTACTGTCTTTAAAAATAATGATATTTAAACCAAAATGTGTGTTTTAAGAGTTTTTGGTAGCAAAAGTCTCTATATTAGAAACACACACCATAAATAAACAAAAAACACTCAGATACTTGTAACTGGTTGCAGTGCTAATTATGTTTGCAGAATCTTCCAAGTCAAGCCTCTAGTTCACCACATTGCTCACTGGTTTTCCACTCAGCAATGCCTCCACCAAATGCAAACATTTGTAATTTATAGCTGAAACTTCAAAATGCTTTACAGAAAAAGAAAACAATGATCCTCGTAAAATTTATTCCTGGGGCTCTGGGTGGGCAACGTTGGATGCTATTCACAAATGCTGCCTTTGAATAAACATACAGAATGCAAACTTGCTTAAAGCGATGCAAACTAAGAAGTAAATAGATCCAAGAGATGTGCTTGACTCAGCAAACTGATGGTCAGTCATCTTCAAAGACCATTTGGCAGCGTATTGATGTTTAAAATGGATCATAAGCTTTTGTGACATTAAATAGTGTTTTTCAGCAGCAATAGATGGCTGAAAGTCTAAAGCCAAAAATATTTCATGGTGACAGTTGCACAAATGTTCAGGCTCTGTGTGCTGACTTGCTAATGTGCTATAGTTGATAATACAGCTAAACTTACAAAGCCAAAAGTGTTTTGATGTGGTAAAAATAGAGACAAAGAATTGCTACTCTGCACATAATCACAGTGATTTTGTTGAAAAGACTTTATAGCAGTAATTGTAGTTTTTGTGTTTCTTGTAATCAACTAAGATTTGGGCTTATAGTTCTGCCACTTTTACTATGAGCTCTTTCGATTTTGCAGGTGTACTTGCTGCAAAGCCATAATTCATTCCTCTCCAAACTGTTTTCATTTAGATTTAGTCGAGACTAGTGATATTTAGACCTCACCATTAACAGCCTGTTATGGAAATATAGTTATTTATGTTTTCTGATGCATTATAATATGTAATATATTGCAATCCTTTGTAATCCTTTATTCGACTTTAGGTCATTGTGAACTGATCATTGTCAATCTGATATTAAGTAAGAAAAAAAATCACAGTCATGCCACTTTAATTGGTGATATGTGACTTATCTGTGAGGCTGATTATCCATGCTGCCGATCTCTTGCCTTTATTTTTTCTTACACTTTTTTATTTTTTTGATGATTATTTATTCTGGTATCGGATGCTGTGCAGCTGGAAGGATTTTTACTGAAATAATTTTACTTTTGGGCATTTGTTATGATGCGTAACCATAGCAACACGTTTTTTTTTTTTTTTTTGATTAACATCACAAAAGCTCAACTACAGTCCCAAATCCCAAATGAGTTGAAAAGGAGGCGCCGTGGACAAATTTCCATCAACCTGGCGGTGGTGCTCGTGTACCTGACCGCCGAGATCCTGGAGCTAGTGGGAAACTTGGCTCGTAGAGGACCGGGATCTTCCCCCGGCAACTTCAGCTGTCTGTCTGTGGCAATGAGGAGCTTGGCAGACTGCTGGGAAGAGTGACCATAGCTCAGGGAGGAATTCTGCCAGCATTTGGACCATCCTGCTGCCCTGGAGGACCGAGAGGCCCACTGAATCTGAAAGCAACTTGGATCCAGGTGGTCAGATCAGTATCTGTGGCCAGATTCTTCAGATTTGCTGCAGGAGATCCTTCCTGCCCACAGCTATCGGGATCTATAACATATCTTGAATGAAACCAGGATGATGAGCTACAACAAGACTTAATTTACCTTTGGGATTAATAAAGTATTTTTGAATTGAATTATGTTGCTGTATTCATACCCATCTGCTCACTATAGACTCATGTCCGGGCTGCTGTTTATTATACTGTATTATTTTACATTATTAGTGTTTAGTGTACATCTTAGATCGTTTAGCGTTTCATATATATATTTGTATATCTTAGATTCTTATTTACTGTTTCTTTTTATACTTTAGATTTTTGCTATTTTTGGGTGTAACTGGGACCTTGAGTACACAAGTTCGTTCCACCTCAAGTACCACATGTGATGCAAATGACAATAAAGAACCTTGAAACTTGATATTATAACCATCGTTCTGTGACTATCTGTAGAATGAAGTAGCCAGTAGAAAGTTTGGCAGATAACCTTACCATAACTGTTGTAGGAAATCTTTAAAATGTTTTGATCTTCTTTGGGACTGTTCTTTCTTAGCAGCCAACTGGTCTTGGACTAGTATGGGCTGGCTCTGATAGCACTGTGAGTGGTGGGTATGGGTGAGTCACTTCCAGGGCTCCCTATAATGAGAGATAAAACTTTGGGGGTTTTTTTAACACTCAAAATACTGAGACTCCAGGCATAATCTTTATTCTGACTGTTCTCCAAAGCTCTGTTTATTACATTTGATAAAGTATGCACCTGATTGTGAATTGGCTTTTTTTGTTTGTTTTTCTACGACGCCATTTTATAAAATATTTTTTTCATTAAAATGGTTCAGGTTTGGTATAACTGAGTGTTATTACATAATCTGTTGACCATTTGTGGTGTGCATTACTGGGTTTGTTGTGAGGTTTTTTTACATACATAATGCTAGGTTAGAAAAATTAAGTAACTTCTTCAGTGTGTTTCAGCGTTATTTGATTTTTCGATCAATTTACTAACTGTGCTGCACAAGTAAATTTGAGGATTATTATAAAGAAGTTCATTTTGTCCTGATCTCTTGGGCTCATGCAGTTGTTACACCTTTCATTGAATCTGTGTCATTCCAGAAATAGATAAAGAGAGTTGTGGTGACCCTGGAACTCCTCTCTATGGAATAAGAGAAGGTGACAACTTCTCCAATGGGGGAATCCTGAGGTTTGAGTGCCAGTTTGGCTTTGAGCTGATTGGCGAAAAAACAATCTCCTGCCAAGACAATAACCAGTGGTCTGCAAACATCCCGATATGTATTTGTAAGTATTCAAATGGTGTGTCATTTTTAGAAATATGTCAAAAAAGCTTGACGTCTGCACAGCCATGCTGTTGATAACATTCGCTCTGACCTGTCACCATGGTGACAGTGCAGAGTTTAATATGGCCTGGGGCAGATGATGACCGATAACGCTGTGAAGATGAATATTTAACAGAAAATGTATCTCTCTGTGCACGTTTCCCTCCCCCCACTTCCCTCCCACAGTCCCCTGCATGTCCAACTTCACAGCTCCCTCAGGAACCGTTCTCTCTCCAGATTACCCAGAAGGCTATGGGAACAACATGAATTGTGTCTGGCTCATCCAATCAGATCCAGGCTCCAGAATACACTTGGCATTTAATGATTTTGACCTTGAGGCACCTTACGATTCTCTAACTGTGAAAGACGGCGAGACGAACGATGCTTCTGTCATTGGGAGATTCTCTGGAGCTGAAAGTCCTTCCCATCTGACATCTAACACCAACACGCTGAGGTTGGAGTTTCAAGCTGATCACTCCATGTCTGGAAGAGGATTTAACATCACATACAGCAGTGTGTAACTTTTCTATATCTTCTCTTACTCTGTCTTTTTACCATACGAAACTCTGATCACACTTTTCCAACAAATCATAAAATTGTTTTTTTATAACTTTAGGTGTGTTATAACTTCAAACAATATTAAATTGTCCTTTACTAAATATGAAGGATTGTCCTTTGTCAAATGGTCTACAGTGTTTAAGCGCTTGAATTGCTATTTTGTTGAATAAATGTCTATGTACTGTCATAATACAAACAAAACAGTCATTTGGTGAGTAAGAAATAATCTTTAAGCTTCTTTAACTGCCATCAAAACTATCCTAAAGCACAGGAGAAGTAATCCCCACTCAAGTATTAGAAGTTGGGCTGTTTCATTGCAGATATACAGTTGAAGCTCTGCTAATTTGCAAAACATTAAATCAAAGAAGAGGCTGAAAGACCTCAAAGAAACATTTTATAAAAGACTAAATGTATGCTTTATTTCATTATTTGAAGATGTGGTATTGTTTTCCTATGTCTAAAGTAATAATTATTCTTCTTTCAGCTTTTGTCCCTTCATGGATAGCCACAGCGAGTCATCCTTATCTATCTCACTCTGTCCTCTACCTCTTCTGTCCCCACTCCAACTGCCTCCATGTCCTCTCTGTGCATCCATATGCATTATCTCCTCTTTGTCTTTTTCCTGACAGCTGTATTTCTCACATTCTTCTACCAATATATATATATTTTTTTTCATTTAGCCTTTATTTATCCAGGTTAGTCTCATTGAGCCGCGAGAACTCATTTTCAAGAGAGACCTGTTTAGGGAGCACATGGTGGGGTTAAGGGCCTTGCTCATGGGCCCAGAGTGGGGCGAATGAGGGTGGGGACAAGTGTGGGTGTTTCACCTACCCCACCCACAATTTTGATGTTGTCGGGGCCGGGGCATGAACCGGCGATCTTCGGATCACAGGCCCACCTCTCTAACCTCTGCACCACCACTCCCCCACTGTCCCTCCTCTGGACATGTCCAAACCATCTCAGTCTGACCTCTCTAACTTTATCTCCCAGTTATTCAAGTTGTGCTGTACCTCTGATGATCTCATTCTTGTCCATCCTTGTCACTCCTAAGGAGAACCTCAACACCTTCATTTCTGCCACTTCCAGTTCTTTCTCCTGTCTTCTTAGTGCCACTATCTTCAACCCATACAACATAGCTGGTCACCACTATCTTGTAAACTTTTTCTTTGACCTTTGTTGACACCCTTTTGTCACAAAATACTCCTGAAACTTTTCTTCATCCACTCCATCCTGCCTGGACTCTCTTTTTCACCTCTTTACCACACTCCCCATTTTCCTGGACAGTAGACCCCAAGTACTTAAAGTCATACACCTTTGTGATCTTTGTTCCTTTTAGCCTCACTATTCCACCAGCCTCCCTCTCATTCACACACATGTACTCTGTCTTACTACGGCTGACTTTCATTCCTCTTCTTTTAAGTGCATACCTCCACCTCTCCAAGTTCTCTTTCACTTGTTCCCTGTTCTCACCACCGATCACAATGTCATCTGCAAACATCATAGTCCATGGGGATTCCTGCCTGACCTCATCTGTTAGACGGTCCATCACTAGAACAAACAAGAAGGGACTCGGAGCCGATCCTTGACGCAATCCCACCTCCACCTTGACGCTATCTGTCACTCCTACAGCACATCTCCCCACTGTCCTGCTGTCCTCATACATGTCCTGTACCAGTCTAACATACTTCTCTGCCACTCCAGATTTTCTCATGCAATACCACACCTCCTCCTTCTGCACCCTGTCATATGCTTTTTCTAAATCCACAAAGATGCAATGAAGTTCTTTCTGACCCTCTCTCTACTTCTCCATTAGCATACTCAAAGCAAAGATGGCATCTGTGGTGCTCTTTCTCTGCATGAAACCATACTGCTGCTCACATATAGTCACCGCTCATCTAAGTCTAGCTTCTACAACTCTCTCCCAGATCTTCATTGCGTGGCTCATCAACTTAATTATCCTGTCATTGCTACAACTCTGTACATCACCATTGTTTTTTTAAATAGGCACCATTACACATATTCCCCATTCCCCAGGCATTTTCTCACCCTGAAATATGCCATTGAATATTTGAGTCAAAAACCTCTGCCATCTAAGACATTTCCAAACCTCCAGTGGTATGTCATCAGGTCCTACTGCCTGCCCCATCTTCATTCTTTTCAGAGCTTTCCAATCATCACCCTCACTAATGTTTCCTACTTCCTGGTCCACAGTTTCTATGACCTCTACTCATCTTTCCCTTTCATTTGCTTCGTTCATTAGCTCCTCAGAGTACTTCTTCCATCTTCCCATCATGCTCTCCTCACTTGTTGGAACATAACCATTCCTATCTTTAACATGCGTAACCTGCTGCACATCCTTTCCAACCTGAAACCTCTGTCTCAGGGGTCTGCGGTGGCTTGGTGGTCAGTGCTGTAGTCTTGTAATCCTCAGATTGTGGGTTTGAGCCCAGGTTGCATCAGGAAGAGGATCTAGTGTAAAACAATTGCCAAATCTTTGTGTGTTCGCTTGCTTTGGCAAACCCTGAAGAAGGGAGCAGCCAAAAGAAACTTAGAGTTAGACACAAGCTCATTCTTAAAAGCACAAAGTGGTATGAAAAGTAACTACACTGTCTAACCACACAGTTTTGTTCAGACAAATGTAAAAATTGGGTAGAATATGAACAAAGAGAAAAGAATGACTGGTTGGAGGTTAAAGCTCTATGAAAACTTTATCTATCTCAAAATCAGGAGCTAAGGATTTATCTGAGCAGCTTTATGGTCCTTCAAAAGTCAAATAAAAAATAAAAAAAAACATCTACAACTCATGAAAATGTATTTTTGGTAAAAATGCAGCCATCATGTCTGTGTCTATTTTTTTTTTTTTTTTATAATCTTTTGTTTATTTTTCTTTTACCACAGCATTTGGCCATAATGAGTGCCCAGACCCTGGCATCCCCATCAATGCTCGCCGCTTTGGGGACAGCTTTCAGCTTGGCAGCTCTATTTCCGTGGTGTGTGAGGATGGTTTTATCAAAACCCAAGGAACTGAGACCATCACCTGTCAGTTAGAAAGAGGAAAAGTCATGTGGAGTGGGCCTATTCCTAAATGTGAAGGTAAATATTGACAGAATTGCCGCCTAAATTATTATCTCGGGACCAATATGCCATCCAAGATCCCATCATTACACAGTACAAAAAGGCAAAAAACAGAAGGAAATGATACTGAGATGGCCAGTTACCATAAAAAGCCAGGGGAATGGTGATCTTAGATGGAAGAAAATGATTAACATTACGAGGCAATTGCTGCAACTGGTACAGATCTAACTGAGGCAGGGTGATTCTATCACATCATTTGTTGATAGAACTGTTTAATGTTCAGTTTAATTATGCTCAAGGATTTATAAAAAATAACAAAAAAAAACTTTGTATCAAATATGTGTCTGTAACTATTTAAGAACAACCTACATACCTTTATTTAAATGTAAAGATCCAAAATTAATTGCCTTTAGAAAATCAAACACACTATAACAAGATCACTTTTGAAAACAGCAAAGGAAGACCTTTGACTAATAATAGCTTCTATTCAAAGTCAATTTATTGCCATGTTCTCTTTTCTCATGAATGGATCTTATAATAACCAGGAGAATATTTAATATAATTATGATACTGACTTTACTAGGCTTTTCCTAACATCTTACATGAAACGCATTAAAACGTCATGCTGCCATACATTAGAGTTGAATTCATAAAGTAGCTCTTTGACATTTTTACACAGACGTCTCAGCTGATTTATTGCATCCATCCTTGTCATTCTAAAGATATTGTGTTGATTTATTTCAAGGTAATTTAATTAGGTTTTTTTTTTTTTGTTGTTCGTAAAATATAATTTCAGTTTTTCCTACTCAGTCAAAGTACTGTTTTAAAAATTTGTTCAACCCAAAATTTTATCAAACTTGTTAGTTATTGTTTGATTTGGTGACGGATGGTTATTAATTAAAGGAGACTAAATCAGAGCTCAAAGCAAAGGGACTGGTGGTTTTAAGAGTCATGAAGCTTTAAACATAACTCCAAATCAGAGCTGGTTTTGTATCGTGGATTATCCGTCCATCCTTTATCTTTACCTGCTTCTTCCTTTGTGGATTGCAGGCATCACTGGTGCCCATATCTATTCATCATTAGACAACAAAAGACATTTGGCATAATCTGTCCAGGATTAAAATGGATTGCTGCCTTTTTAAAACAAGGTTCAAGGTTATTTGTTGTCATTTGAATCACATGTGGTACATGAGGTGGAACAAAATTGTGTCCCCAACGTCTTAGTTACACCCCAAAATATGAAAAACATAAAGTATAAAAACTAACGGTATGTACAAGGATCTAAGCTATACGCTAAACACTAATAATGTAAAATAATATGGTATATTAAAAAGCAGCCCGAACACGAATCTGCAGTGAGTAAATGAGTATGAATACAGCAGCTTGAAGGCAAGAAGTTAGAAACATAGATAAATCAACTACATTCTCAAAAGGGTCATAGCAGTTCACACATTTTCATTAACATCACAGAATGTGTGACATTATTTTATCATTTGCAGGTTCGCATAGCAACATTTGCAGGTACAGTACACGGGGAGTAGTGGCACAGAAGGCAAGCCTGTGATTGGAAGGTCACTGGTTTGACCCCCCGGACTGACAACATTTGCCCACATTTGCCCCACTCTGAACCCTTGAGCAAGGCTCTTAACCCCCATCATGTGCTCCCCTGGGCACCCTGGATAGCAGCCCTCAGTTCCACACATGTGGGCTGTGGTAGCTCAGTGGTCTCGGGTTGTGTCAGGAAGGTCATCCCGTGTAAAAACAATTGCCAAGTCTTCATGTGAGTTAATTCTCTGTGGCGAACCCTGAGGAAGGCAGCAGCAGATAGAAGGAAAAAAACAGTAGGTAGCTGTAGCACTTCCTGCAAGGAATATATTGTATAATATTTCTTGCGTAATAAGAACGCAGTGTAAAACTGCCAGTGATTTAAAGGTTTATAAAATACCCTTCACGTGAGCTGAGTTGTTTTAAGCCTGCAGCAATCCACATTGGTTTTGGAGTGTAACCTTTTTTTTAAAACCTCACTTCTGAAAAATCAACTTTATATTTAAAAGCTTAAAAACTTAAGTCGCCTGCATTTCATCGTTTGTGCTAAATCCCACAAATCATGATTCATGCCACATATTGTGCATCAATTTCTGCTTCTCCCAGAATATACTTTTAATGTTCTCTGTTTTATTTTGTTTTTGTGTCTTATGTCCCTCCTTCTTCCCATTCTCCTCATCCAGCTCCATGTGGAGGCCACTATTCAGCTGCAAGTGGAGTCATTTTGTCTCCCGGGTGGCCCGGTTACTACAAGGATTCCCTCAGCTGTGAGTGGGTGATTGAATCGGAGCCAGGACGTTCTATCAAAATTGCATTTGACAGGTGGGCAAAAATAATATTTAGCTCTTCATCCTGTAATGACCTTTAGGGTGTTGAGCAAGCACATAAAGAAATTACCCAAAACCGCAATGTGTTGCATCCAACTAGCACAGTATCAAGTGGAAAACCAACAGGGCCTTCAATGCCTTCAGAGAAGGCCTTTCATCATTCATCACTTTTGAAATGTTACATTTAGATTTGTTTGGTGATAATTTATTTTATTTCTGTTTACTTTGCAGTTTGGCTTTTTTTTAAAGATGTAGTTATCAATCATATTATTATTATTATTATTATTATTATTATTATTATTATTATTTGTCTCGAGCAGAAATATAAGAAGCTCTCATCCTTTAGGACTTCACTTTGATTAGAGAAGGCTGAAGTCAGTCAGTTTCTCTCCATGATGGATTTATTTAATAAATGACAGGAAAATAAACCAATCAGATTGCTGATATAACGTGGGTGGAACCAAAACATGGGACTCTGGAGTTTAGGAAGGCCAAAGCATTTTTTATTTTTTTATATATTTTTGGGGGCCCATGAAGATTAGTGGTGCATTCATCTGCAGCCTGTATATTTGAAAATCCACACAGAAATTGTCGTTGCTCTAAAGAACAAATATTAAATATCAAATGTAAGTTTTCTATAATTTTCAATTTAAATTTGAAGGCCTAGCCCTTATGGTCATGGATCACCACTGCAAATGTCACAATACTTCAAGTGCAATAATTGATCAAAAATATAATCTACTGTTTGTATTTAACTCATTAAGCTAAGATTGATAATTTTGTTGATTGTGCGCAATGAAAGCAGACATCGTCTGTTTAATATATATATATATATATATATATATATATATATTGCATTATCAAAAGCATGACTTAAAATCAACGTTTATTTCTCTGAATATTAATTTAAGTTTTATATAGTCATTAAATGTATATGAGGATATAAAAACAAAATGAGATCATTCTTTAAAAATTTAAAGGCTTGTTTGATTAGTGTTGAAGCCATGATCATGGGAAATGAGCATTTTCTTCTACCAGGTTCCAGACAGAGTTGGGTTATGACTTCCTTGAGATCCACGATGGACCGAACCTCCTCTCTCCTCTGATTGGCTCCTTCAATGGCACCCAGGTGCCCCAGTTTCTGTTCAGCAGCAGCAACTTCCTCTATCTCCTGTTCACCACGGATAACAGCCGCTCCAATGTCGGCTTTAAAATACTCTACGAAAGTAAGTTGGAAACAAATCCACCGTGCTTGCATGGGCTGATTGAGATTAAAGTTGCCTTTGTCAATCCTTTTTGTAAAGTTAAAAACCATATGAGCACTCCGTACATGCAGGCTGAAATGAAAATGTATTTTTGGATTTACTTTCCTCACAGTAGGAGTTTGATTACACTCATAATAAGAAGGCATGGTGTGACAACATTGTGCTAATAGCCCACCCACAACCCAGTTTCACAGACCAACTTTGTGCCAGGGTCATTACCTGCATGAAAATAAACAGCAATGATTGCACACCCGGGTGCCTGCTGGGAACAGTAAAACTGTTAACTTTAGAACGTTTAAATCAGCTAAATTCAACTCCTTTTTTTTTTATTGTTTTTCAGGCGTTACGGTGGACAGCTACTCATGCTTGGATCCTGGCATACCTGTTAACGGTATTCGTTATGGACAAGATTTTTCCATCGGCTCCACTGTGTCCTTTGGTTGTGATTCGGGCTACAGACTCAGTCACGAGGAGCCGCTGGTCTGTGAAAAGAATCACTGGTGGAGCCATCCCTTACCTACTTGTGACGGTAAACATTTGCTGTGCTTCTTAGAAAATAGATTTTTTTTTTTTTTTACGAGACCAAATAATATGAATTTAATGGTCTTATTCTGATTTCACTTTCACAACCTTGTAGTTGATTTGAATTTGTCCTTGAATACATTATCAGAATTAACTTGATTAAAAGCATAAAATAGATTGCTTTCCACCCCAGCATTTATATTATACACAAATATATAAATTTGATCTATTCAATTTTTTTTTCATTCAATCTTTCTATATATTCAATTTAAATCAGTTCAATTCAGTTTATTTATATAGCACCAAGTCACAACAGAAGTCATCTCAGGGCACTGAACAGAAACATTCATATATAAATAACAAGTTAACACTATCTGAGGAGCAGACTGCTTTGAGTTTAACTCCGTTCCAGAACTCTGGTCTAGAGCAAGCATGAAGACTTTCTCATGAGGAAGAAACCTTTAGCAGAACCAGGCTCAGGACGAGTGACCATCTTCTTCGGCTGGGTTTGAGAGGAACAGATACACAATGGCAGGTCAAGAATCACATCTTAAAAAAGAAATATCAATCAAATGAAAACTATTCAATTTTAACAATTCATTTAAGGAAATTGGGTCTGTTTGTCCTCCAATAGTCTAAGCCTATTGCAAGATAACAAGCCAACCCTATAGGATTTATCAAAAAGGAAAGTCTTAAGCCCAGTCTTAAAACTGGACAATGTGTCAGCCTCATGGAAAGAAACTGAAGTTGGTTTCACAAGAGAGGAGCCTGATAACTGAAAGATAACTGAAGATCTTCCTCCCGTTCTGCTTTTGGAAACTCTAGGAACCACATGTAAGCCTGCAGGCTGAGAGCAAAGTGCTCTGTTAGGAAAATATGGAACAATGCCATCTCAAATATAAGATGGAGCTAGGTTGTTGAGGGCTTTGTAGGTTAGTAGTAAGATTTTGAATTCAATTCTGAATTTAAAAGGGAGCCAATGGAGAGAAGCTAAAACTGGAGAGATATGATCTCTCCTACTAACTCCAGCTAAGATTATGGCAGCAGCATTTTGGAAGAAGTATTTGGACACTCAGATAACAACCCATTGCAATAGTCGAGTCTATTATACAGGTTAGTCTCATTGAGCCATGATGACTCATTTATAAGAGAGACCTTTAAACAAAGAACACAGATGAGGTAATAGACAATCATATAAAAAGCATATAAAATGAAAAAGTAAATGCACACACACACATTCTGGCACATTTAGTGCAATTGAGAAACAATTACAGCATTTTAAAAGCTACACACCTTACAGGAAGGTGTGCTCACACTATTTGAGCTCCCACAACCATCTGCACGCAGAAAACTGGCAACATTCCTACTCAGCATTCACACATATGGTCTCCCTCATGTGGAATCCTGCCTTCATGCGTGCAACTGCTCAACACGCTCGTCTGTCAAGTTAATTTCTCAGACTTTGGAAGCAGGAAACTTCCCCAGTCATTTTACTGGATAATCTGGTTCAACACGATGCACCACAAGTTCCATTTGACACTGTAATGTAGCTGTTGAATGTACTAGTGGTAGAGAAAGTAACATTTTTTAGTACTTTGTACTGTAACCATTTCAGAGTTCAAAAAACAATATTTTACAAAAAAATATATGTTTTTCACATCCATGAATATGATTAGACCTTGATTTTAATGATATAAACTTGTATATATACTGAACTGATTTGCAGTCTTCACTTTCAAAATCCCACCTGTTGGGCTGATATGTATCAAGTAACAAAAATAATTAGAAAAAAAACTCAACAAAGTCACATTTTTGGACTTTTAGAACATTCTTGATTTACATAGGTTTAACGTTGCTGATGTGTGCTCAAATGTTATTTTTTTCCAATATGTTTAACAGTAGGGCAGCACGGTGGCACAACTGGTAGAGCTGCTGCCTCAGCGCGCAGGTTCAACCGGTTCACCGGTTCAAATCCCGGTCCAGGGGCCTTCTGGGTGGAGTTCTTATGTTCCCTTCGTGCATGCGTGGGTTTTCTCTGGGTACTCTGGTTTCCTCCCACAGACCAAAACCATGCATCTTAGTCTAATTGGTAACTCTAAATTGTCCCTAGGTGTGAGTGAGAGAATGAATGGTTGTCTCGTTTGTCTCTGAGTGGCCCTATGATGGACTTGCGACCTGTTCAGGGTGTCCTCCGCCCCTCGTACAATGATTGCCGGACATGGGCACTGGCGACCCCATGACTCCAAACGGAAGAAGTGGGTAAAAGATAATGGATGAATGGATTTTTTTTACCCTTTATTTATCCAGGTAGTCTCATTGAGCCATGAGAACTCATTTTCAAGAGAGACCTGTTTAGGGAGCAGATGGTGGGGGTTAAGGGCCTTGCTCAGGGACCCAGAGTGAGGCGAATGAGGGTGGAGGCAAGTGTGGGTGCTTCACCTTTTCCACCCACATTTTGATGTTGACGGTACCAGGAGGTGAACCTGCGACTTTCTGATCACAAGCCCATCTTCTAACCTCTGCGCCACCCCCCCCCCCCCCCCCCCCATAAATGATGGGTTGGATGTGTGTTTAACAGTAATTAGTTCTTTCATGCTAATACAAAAGGTCATGTGACATCATGAATGTAGGGGGAGTGGTGGCGCAGAGGTTAGAGAAGGTGGGTCTGTGATCAGAAGATCGCCGGTTCAAGCCCCGGTACCGACAACATCAAAAATGTGGGTGGGGTAGGTGAAGCACCCACACCTGCCCTCACCCTCATTTGCCCCACGCTGGGCCCATGAGCAAGGCCCTTAACCCCCATCTGCTCCCTAAACAGGTCTCTCTTGAAAATGAGTTCTCGTGGCTCAATGAGACTACCTGTATAAATAAAGGGTAAATGAAAATAAAATGAATGTGTGCAGGGGAGTGTATGGTACTTAAAGTCCCACATTGCTAGTGCACAGACTCTGGTTACAAAAATACAATGTGGCAGAATCCTTCAAAATGGTCCTTGTTGGTATCAATTCCATTTTCTAGTATCCAGTTTCCAGCAAGAAAAACTAAACCATTTGGTCTACTTCTATATGTTATTGCATGTCAGTGGTTTAGAAGGCAGGCTTTCCAGCAGATTTTTTATTTATTTTTATTTTTATATATACTGTTCCAATACAAGGGCTTGTTGAGCAGATATGCTACCTCAATGTTTTTATTTTATTTTATATAT